GATTTTATTTTGATGAATGCGATTTTGCTGCATGCTAAATATTTTTTTCGCGATTATTTGAATGGCATTTAATTGATTTCTGTTGTAGAGTTTTTTGTTAGCAGTAATATCGGATGGTACAAATATTATCTACTCTACGAAAAACATTTCAAACCTCTGAGGGTCATTCTTAATGTGACCAACCGTACTTCTTTCGGAAGTAAAATACATACTTCTTTTTTCGCTCCTGTACTTCGTACTTCGAAGTACAGTCAAATGTACTTCTTTGAGATATCTTGTACTTCAGGAGGGAGATTTTTTTAACAAGCTAGCCACATTTTTCCGATCGCTATCGCACTTTTTGACACATGATAAAATTGTCGCTAACTGGTTTCAGAATCTCTCCACCAGCTCCAGTACTTGTTCGATCTTCAGGACGATCGTCACATGGCCTGGGCGATAAATTCTTTCAAACCATTAAAGTTTGGCATCATACCTGCGCAGCTGCAAAGGGCTCTGAAGGTGTCGTGCAATTGGTTAGATCCTGTTTGTGCGAAGTGCGCGAGGACCGGGTACATCCCCAAGGCTTGGAGGGTAGTCAGTCGGCATCCCGAATGCCGGCAAAGGCGCACATGTTTCCTCTAGGTATTTTAGGCTAAACATTCTCCTATCGTTTTTGCTAAAAACGCTAGAAACTGATAGACCTGTACATAGGAAACGCGATTTCTCGTGACTGTCTTTGAAGAGCTCAATATGCTTATAGCAAGAAAAGGTCGGTGAATACCGCCCTGCAAATATTGGTAAAGTGGTCAGAGGAACCCTTCATGTATAAAGATTATGCAGTAGGGGCCTTCTTCGATATCGAGGGGGTCTTCAAGAATGTCACTCCAGAGGCAATAGTCAAGTATATTCATAATCTGGGGGTTGGAACCAACCTAATAAGGCTTATTTACGGCTTACTTCGTGACAGAACTGCTGCCGCGGAGTGGGGAAGCCCCTGCACTCAGTGCAATGTCATTAGGAGCACTCCACAAGGTAGTGTTCTCTCTCCCCTACTCTGGATTGTGGTTGTAAACGATCTGATAGAGAACCTGGAAAAGGTGGCCTGTCGGGTGTTCGCCTGTGTAGATGATGTGGAATTTACTTACAAGGTTACCTGAACCAGATAACTAGGTGGGTGATCAACGGCGGCTGCCGTCGAGGCCTAATTTTGTGGTAAGGGTAAGAAAGGTGTCGGTTGCCTTGTACTGCTGTAGGGGAGCTATCGGTAAAAGGTGAGATATCTCGCTCAAATTAATTCATTAGCTCTAGGAAACCAGATTTAAGCCTATATTGTTTCAAGGAGCCCTTGTCTGGTGGAACTCACTAGAGAAGGCTACGCTTGTAAAATAGGAATTAGCCGATCATTAGGAACCACATCTACACTGGCGCTTAACATACATACATATGTTGAACACGGCGCCTGTGGATATTGCAGACAGAATTTTCACAGCACGAACTGTTATTAGGCTAAGGGAAACCGGATCCTTTTGTGACATAAAAAAGGAAAAGAAGACATTTCTCTGCCGCAGCAAATGTCTTTATAGGGCACTTTAAAACACGTTACCCCTGAAAGGTGAGACTCGGACTTTCAACTGATCCTTTTTTATCAGCTGTCAAGAAGGAGATGAAGTGGACACTTTCTTTTAGACTAAGATGGAAGCATTTTGGCTCGCACTCCTAAACAAACACTGAGCTCTCAGGGATCGAAATAAGCCGCATTTGAAATTTCTTAATCCTCTCGCGACGTTAACTTAACCCAACCTTAACTGTACTTCTTTGAGCTATGAAATAGTTGATCAGATCTATATATATAATACGCGAAGGGAATTTTTGTCCCGGACATAAAATCTGCACCGTTCGCTCGATTTTAAAAAGTGGGGCATCAAATTAAAGGGCTTGGCCTGTAGATGTGCATTCAAATAGAGTTACCACCTGATAAAAAATCAAATTAAAATCTATATACATATATATATATATATTACGCGAAGGGTTTTTTGTGGCACAAAAGATCTTTACCGTTCACCCTATTCTCAAAAGTGAGATGTCAAATGAAAGCGCTTGGTCTGTAGGATTATCACCTGTTGAAAAATTTAACTCAAATTATTTAATTATCAATGCCATCATGTCCGCACCGTTCGTTCGATCTTCCGGAATGAGGCGTCAAATTAAAAGCCTTGGACTGTAGATGCGAAATAAGGTTTTACTTTTTGAAAAGAGTTGCCACCTTTTAAAAGATTATATTCAAATTATTTAAAAAAATAGATCAATTATATATTACAAACAGGGTATCAATCGAAATGGTTTTGAATAGCTTCGTTTCTTAGCTGTACTATATTTAAAAAATCATATTAGGTAAAACAAATATGTATCACCATATGGATGGCAAACAAGAGGGGTTTCAGAAAGTACCAATTTGACAATATTTTCAAGAGGTTGCCACCTGCTTGAAATTTCGAATTTGGTTTACTTATACACAATTTATATGAAATATCAAAATATGGATGTCCACCGAAGGAGTGTTAAGAAATCTTTATTTTTAACGCTAAGAATATTTTTGAGGTGTTGGAAGAGGGTTGCCACCTGTTTAAAAAGTTAAGTTCAAATTATTGAATAAGTTAAATGAATTATTAAAATATGAGTATCAATCGCAGGGGGTTTGTTATTTCTGAACTGTATTTAGCGGGGTTGCCAAATGTTTGAAAAATCAAATTCCACTTAATTCATCAGTTAATTAAAATATGTATCGCAGTGTTCGGCGAATGAGAGTTAACATGGATTAAGCTTGATAATACTTTTGAAGAGGGCTGCCACCTGTTTGAAAGGTCTAACTCAATTAACTAATACATACAAAAAGTATATGAAATATAAAAATACCGTAGTCATTTGAAAAATGAGAGGTCAAATTAATGACCTAACTCTGTAATGCGATACGACAGAGAAATGCAATGCGATAGGCCATCACCACTGTGTATTACTTGCTATGTGTTTGCGCGAATACGAATCATTTGTTTTCGCATCGCATTGCAGAGTAACCCCCAAGGACTTTTTTCATCAGTATAGAGTGAAATTTGATGAAAATAAAAACACATGCACTATGTGAGACTGCCCGTCGCTCAGAAACGACTGCACGGTTTTGATGAAGTATGGCACACAGATCTCTTATAACTCTGACTAACATTTGGAATATTTTTTAAGTTTTTAAAACTAAATTCTGGGCATTTTAACGCCATGAGGGTTCACTAGTTAGTCATACTAGACCAAAGGCCACTTTAGAAAACACACGGGGAGGAAACAGCGAAGAAAGCTGTAAGGCTATGTAAGGTGGCTCAAAGTTAATCATCCAATTTTCTTTTGAATAACTGTTTTACTGAATAAAAAAAATTGTTGGGTGATGGAAATCTTTATGGTCAAACCATTACAATTTTTTCTGGGAAGTGGAAAAGATGATAGCCGTCAAGTAGCTGCCGCCAATGTTGATACACATTGTGCATTTGTTGAGAGGAGGAGGATAGCTTGACTGTAATTCACAAGCAACTGACGGTCAGCAGGCATTAACTGAGGCACTGTTTTCACTTTGTACGGGAACATATGTAATCGCGTTTTCTTTTCTCGTAATAATGTTGCACTTATTCTGCCCTGCGCCATGGTTGTCAAGTTTTCGTGTTCTTTTCTCAGCATCTTCACATACATATTGCGTGCTCTTTCTTTAAAATGTTGCACTTTGACAATGTTGCCATATGAGAAGGTGACATTTTTTCGAGAAAAGAAAACGCCGTTAGTCTTTCACTAAAATTCGCTGTAGGGTCTGCCTGGTGGTGCCCAATTGCGTGGCCCGTCGTCAGATTGATGTTTCTTCGTTCTCAGTGACATCCGAAGCCGCAGCCGCGATATTATCCGCCGAACGACCAGCCCTGCAAGGTCTCGTGTGATTGCAGTCTGTTCGAGTCGAGCAGCTAAGTGCCATAGGATAAGCCAACATATGACAACTTGGTACACTGTATTTGGACCGAGGCTGAGTTAGCGGAATCTATAGTAAAGTGTAAGTTGAACATATATCAAGCGCAACTACCGGAGCCAGAACTCTTCACTACTGATGGAAAGCCAGGCGACTATAGTGGTCCCACAAAACTGTTGATTGAGTGTTTGGCCTGACCAATCGTGCTTGGCTGCATTGGTTCTGGAGAATCTTCAGGAAGCATTATTGCTGCGAATTCTGTTGGACGTAAGCCAAAATTGGGTGAATATGTTATAACTGAGAGTGTGGTGAAATGTGGAGATTCCTTTTTCCAATAGATATAACCTGTAGTTAAAGCTTGATGGAAATGATCTACTAGATTTAATAGTACAATTTATTTCTGTTGCTAGGTTATAAATTCCTTTTGAGGACACAATAGATCTCGAGTACAGTCAATATTGCAGGTATGACCTGAAAAAAGACGAATTATAAGATCGAAATAATAGTTGGAAGCACAGAGCTTCGTACGGGCCGCAGTAAAATTATAAGTAGGGCTAATCACAAATAGCGATCATACCACTGTAAGCGATTTGAGAAATAAACACCGGGGCACTAACGACCAAAATGGGTATTAATTAACCTGGGCCTCAAGCTCTATTCCAGGCTTAAAGTATTCTGCGCCTACAGAATATGCCCCAAGAATTAGGCTGGGTGTTCACCAAGAAGATTGACGCCAAGTATTGGGGAGCAGCCTCTCTATCCGGTGTCCAAAACTACCGTATTAGTCATAAGTGGCGCGAAACCCATATACTTAAAGCCCCAGAAAACCTGGGGAATCTCATACAGCATAGAAAAGTCAGCATTCGGACACAGGAAGAAAGCGGTTAGCGTATCTTATTAAAGTGGCAGTGACAGTAGAACAGCGAAGCGCCCAGCTAATAGACGGCTAATTTGTACCAAAACGGGTAAGGAAGTTCAGCGAAATTAAAAATTGCACTACGTTTTTATTTAGGCGATGACGACTTCAATCAATAGTTTCGTTTACCATTATGATTTCCTTTACCATTAACAAAACCATAACCGTTACCACTGCCAGTAATATTATCATTACCATTACCATTACCGTTACAGTAATGTAGTTACCATTACCATAACCATTACCATTATTACCTTTACCCTTACCATTATCATTATCATTATCGATACCATTACCTTTACTATAAACATTATCATTACTACCATAAATACTATTACAATTACCATTACCATTAACATTGCCAATTGCATTACCACTGCCATTACAACTGCATACAATTAGTCAAACTTGTTAAATACGTGCGAAAATAAATTTCCTCTGCAACTTTGTTGCCTATCAAATCCCTATATCTGCTTGTCCTGTTGCAACTTTTTCACGCTCTAATTACAATTAACTTTGTCAACGTCTAAAATGTATGCGATAAACTAAAAGTACTATCTCGAAACAGGTATTTTCACCTGATTCCGAATACGGTCGCAAATTCGCTTTGGCTTTGCGTTTAAACGCCACAACCAATTAGTTTATTTACTCAAGTTTGCCATAGTTGTTGCCTCTACGTACGAGTGCTGCAAGTTGACCGTATCTTATGGGTACATCTAACAAATTACCAACACTCACATGCGATGGATGCCAATTCAATTGGTGGAACGAATCCGGTCGGTCACAGCAACCTGCAAAGGATGAATGGAACCATATGCATGCAAATGGGTGAGAAAGATGAGGTTACAGACGAAGATCGCGCGTTTATCAGCGCTAGTAACATGTAGACGATATCAGCAACGCTCTTTGTCAAATGGGTTAGGTGATCTTCAACATCAGCACATCCAACCAACAATTTAAGGCCAACCAACCACGATCGGCTCACTTTGCATTCTCGCTAAACTATCGCCGTCAACTTGTTTTTCTTATTGGAGCACAAACTCTTCGAGTTGACGACGAATGCGCAGCGAATGTTTAGTTCCACCACCGCTGCTAGTTACAGCTGCTGTGTTAGCTTTTAAGATACCGAAAAATATGAGTAAACATAAATTGAAAATATGACAGTGAAAACTAACATTTCCACGCCGCCAACAAGTCAACTTCAACGTCGTCATCAACGGCGGCACAAATGACTGATTGACGGATATCAGCGCCACAGCACAATGGGCACTCTAGAGCAGGCGTTCCCAAACTTTATTGACCGCGGCACCCTTGTTGTGCTAAAAAAAGATCCCGCGACACTCCTACTCTTCAAATGTCTACCAAAATAAGAAAACACAATGTAAACTTTATGATCCTTTAGCTTTAATGTGGGGACTGAAATTGTTTTGATGATTTCATTATTTCCTTTAAGTTTGTTTGGTAGCTTTGACAGTTTTACTCTGAAATCATTTGACGCTGTCTTTAAAAAAAGGAGAAGGTTATCAATTCGTCGGAATATTTTTTTAGTAATATTTAATTTTTTTATGTAAGTTACCGCATAACTTTGGACCACGTTAACCGATTACTATAATTTTTTTTTAGAGGAAAGGTGTTACCTCACAGTCGGTCCCATTCTAATTTGGTTTAAATCCGAACATTGGATCATGAAGGGATAACCGACAATCTTAAATTTGTATATTTAGAATTGAAGTCGGTTTTGTGTTTGCTTAAAAATTATTTGTTTATGTACGCATTTGTTGAAAATGCCGTCTCACATAAAAGTGTGAAAGTAAAAGTCATTAGTATTTTTAATGCAATCCTGCCAACAGCAGTGTTTTCTGCATACACTTGCATCCAGAACTCTCTTGGCTCCCTTCGTAGTATTTCATATTCAAAGTGCTGTCGTCACTGATGGCCAGAAGGTTTTCATAAGCTTAATTTGTCATCCCAGTAGGTTTACTTTTCGGGTTACATGAAAACGGGTTTGTTATCCAGCTGTAGACATCCGCAGAGTCAATGTTGGGAAAATATTCGACAATGGTTTTTTCTAAATCTTCCAAGTTAACGCTGGCAATGCGCGTTAAAGCTATATTTTCTTTTTTCTATTATCTTTTGCAGTCAGTTTCACGAAAGCAATTTAAGTGAAAAATGATTTTAATTCTTTGAATTTTATATGAAAATTGACAGAAAATAAAAAATCATTTTCCATTTAAACTGATGGTGAAACCGGCTGCTATCAATTTTCTTGACGTTATCTTCGAAGTTACATAAGTTTTTCTGATTTACTTTGTTTACTTATGGGGTTTTCATGCAAATTGCTAGAAATTCTAAAATATACATGTCACAAATAAAAAAATCTCGACGTGCTAGAAAAAAATCAACGATGTATTTTAATTTCGCAGGCCTCTGTTATCTTCGCAGCGTCATCCAATACGGGTTTTGAATCTAGTGGCGGCATCTTCCTAGTCGCCAAGGACTACCGACCGATCATACAGTGACTTCTCGTGGCGTTTTCTGTCGCTTGCTTCATCCTAGACATCGCTCATTTCGTTTTTCCACCCAACCACTGCAAATATCCGCACACTTGCTCCATTTCAAACCATTATTCTGTACAAATTTGTCGATAGCTTTAAAAATTTCGTCACTAGTGGTGTAAGTCTCAAGTACTTCGCTATTCAAAAGTTCTTCTTCGATTTGCATTCCGAAAAAGTACCTCACTAACACTACCACTACGTCGGTACTTTCGGCAAGTTGTAAACTAAAATATTCACAAGTTTTCAAACTTTTTATAAGTTCATTCTCGACGGCCTCTAAAATCGTGTTAATTCGCTCTTTCACAGTATGATTGTGAAATTCCAAAGAATAAGTAAAATATATATGTACATGTGCGCGAAGCTGTTGCGCTGGTCACGAGAACAGCCCAGTCAGCAAAAAATCCGTAAATTAGTCCGAAAACAGGAAGAAAAGTGGATCAAACGCGGATTAGCTCTACGAAAGTACCGAAAATGGTTGTGAAGAGGCTACGTTTTCAGCTATTTTTTTATTAAATTTTTCGTTGACAAAACGTACTGGGGAACTATGCTTAAGAGCGAAATGATCTGCTAAAGGTAATTTTAATAAAAATCAAGATTTTTTGATTTTCTGGCCGCCATGTTGAAGTTTGATCAAACCGTTGCGTTGTGTATGGAAAGTTTAAAGAATTTGCCCGCACCACTAGTATATTCCAGCCACTAGCGGCACCCCAGGCATACGCTTGCGCCACCCACTTTGGGAAAGCCTGCTCTAGAGTCGCGGTAGCGCCTTTGGCATTTACTTATTGTCACTAATTACCTTGGCGTAATTAAATTGGCGTCGCTATCCCGAAAAACAGGATCACTCTCGTATGTATGTATATACAATTTAACTCGTATGGGTATGCGAGTGGCGACAGCAATATTTGTCAGTTTGGACTTGAGCTGGATTTCCACATTGGCTCACCGTCAGCTTGTCGCGCTGTAATGCCATCTGCGGTTGGGACGGGCATCCATTGATGGTTTTGAATTGGTTCTTTTTGCGCATTGTTGTTGTTGTTTTGGTTTGCGCAGAAAAATGAATGAGCTGTGAGACTGGTGCGTCACTTAACGACAAATAATTTCTAATTATCTATTGATGTTATTGCTATTCATCTGCAGAGCGAGATAAACTTTTCAAACAGATCGCTTAGCGTATGCAATTAAAAATATAAACTATTTTATTAATTTACTAGTTTTGCTGTTTTAATAAATTTATAACTGAGATTACGCTCAATGATGGTGAATAGTGTAAAAATGGTTATCAAAATATAGTCTAATAGACAGCTTGTAGCTAAATGGAAAGAGTAAAAAAAGCTTATAATATGAAAGACTGAAATCAATGTCCAAACTACTTCAGAAAGTACTCCAAGGAAAAGGACGATATATTAACAGGGGAAACCGTCTTAATTTCCTAGTGAGGAAGAAAGATCGACCAACTGTAAATCGATCCAATATTGTACAACTCATTATTCTTAAAAATTATATTCCTATTCAAAGATCCCAACGAGGGTTTTGGACAAGAATGATAGAATACAAGATTGCGCCGTCCTGGCCGTTGACATTTGTGTACCACAAGTAAACAAAGAATAGAGCGAAGAGAAGAACGAGTTGAAACTGCAAAAACAGTTCACTTTACAGCGAAAAATGTCTTTTAATTTTGCTAAATGCGAAAATATTGCATTTTGCACCTAATCTATTAGAGAATAGTGAACGTTTTAGTGCACTCCATTGCTTTGCAATTAAGGCTGCTGGAGCAAACTGCGGCGCATCTCAGCGGAATTGCTTAGTTAACTTGCTAAAGGAGGCTGCTTGGAGCAGAAGCGAAATCATTGTGATGAAATGCTGTCAATATAATAGTAAGAAACATTTCGGAAACGGCTTTGCCGCGCCCTACATTTACACACCAAATGGAGCGATTCGTCACAGCGCTACACTTGCATCTTGACGGCTTTTGCAATTTAACACACGGCACTTCATTTTATTAGTTTTTACACAGTCTTCAACTCAAAAATCACTCACAAATTGGAAATTAACACAATTTAAACTTATAATTCACTTATAATTCAAATTTCTCTTTGCCGCTGATTTGTAAATAAAGGTTTATTTACTAGTTACCACAACTGTCAAAATCGGCAAAACCAAAGTAGTGGTACCACTGACGGCGCCAGCTTTGTTCGCTGCACCGTGGGTTTTGGAAGCAACCATTCAATTTGTAGTGCAGATCCGTTTCCAGGGAGTACTCCGGTAAATGAAGAAGATTCGAGTGCGCTAGAGAGGGATCTGAGAGCGAATTAGGGAAGCTTGTCAAAAAATTTACCTGCCCTTGAGATGGCTAAACCAGCTACAAACAGCGCAAAAGCTCACTTTGGCCTGTGTTCGATGAAAAAAGAACACGAACTCTGCTGTGGTTCCCAAAATTAAAAGTTCGGCTTTTGAACTGGGGTACTAACAGGAGAATTAACCATTGGGTATATGGCTACCGGGATCGAAGCGTCTTATAACGATTTCTATTAGAGGATGAAGTGATAAGAAAGAGGTAGAATGTACTTATTATGCGAATGCTGCGCTCTCCCAAGTAGATCAGCTTAAATTGCTTACCTTCTAAGTTACCTGAAAGGAGAATCTTATAGTGGGAAACTAATGTGCAAAATTTGGTTTCGATAGGTTCATCCGTTTCGGAGAAATTGAATTTTCTCCACCTCTCCCTGAAAAGGCGACCACTGTGCGTTGATGTCATCCTGGTATTTTTCTAAGACATCCCGCAGTTGGAAAGCGATGCCTTTCTCATTGAAGATCCGGTCACTCAAGGTGAATATCCGTAAATCGGTAGTCCTTATTCCGTTTGCGAAGACCGTCCTCGTTGAGGTGGTAATGATTGGAGACTTCTTCTCGATTTATTCATTAATCATTGTTTTTACGTAGCGGTCTCCCAGCTTAGCGCACAACCTATTACTGGGCGTCTACATCTCACTTTTGTCAGCTTCCAAACGCGTGGTTCGTTGCTACCCAGAGGATACTTGGTGTAAACCGGAAGTTTCGGGCGGTTTGAACCTGATGGAAAACCATAATTTCTGGTCACTCTTTGATGGTCATATCAAAATCGCGAACATAAATTTCGTAGGCGAATACACCGACATTAACTCAAAATGAAAATTCCATTATGTTGTTCTCATAAGTACTGCTATAAACCTTCGCTTATACCACAACCAATTTGTAAC